CTCCTTCAGCACCACGGAGAGCGCTCCCAGCCCGCCGCCGCGGCCGCCGCGCCTACGCGACCAGCCACTTCAGGTGTCAAAACGCCTTCTTTTTCCCTCCAGCCCTTTCACAGCACGGAAAGGAAATTAAAATCTGTTATCGGCTTCTTTAAAGACACATATTATACCCTCGATTAGGTTAGCTGGCCAGCTATTTTATGGCATTTTATGGGTTCAGAAGGAGTACCGCTCTCCTCCTTATCTGCTATCACACATCGCCTAATGCTCTGTGTTAACATCCCTCCCCCCTTCTCTCAAACCCTAGCTCCCACCTTGAAGGAAAATCATAGTTAATCCAGAGTTATTTTCTCAAGAATATCAGTTCTTTATCAAAAAGTAAATCTTGCAAGACATCAGATGTTTAGAACTCATTAAATATTTGGTGACTGAAGACCGCTTATAGACTATACAATTAACTAAAGCCTCAGACTTCACCACCCTAGACTCCTTTTCTGTTAATTGGACTTTAGCTTCATTTCTCCTTCGAGGAAGGGGGGGAAAAGGAAGGGTAACCTTTATAAAAGATATTTTTGTCCACCCTCCAGAATGATTTCAATATGAAAGCAGGTAAATGTTCTTAACACCTTTCATATTTCCTTCCCTGTAAGACATACAGTGCAAAGGTTGGAAATCCCTAATAAAATGTTCTGCTGGAGAAGCTGGTCTTGTGTTCTGGGGGCTTGTCACCACTTTTACACGGTCCTTTTCAGATTAAAGTCTTTATGAAACTGCCCTCCACGCTTCAGTGACCAGCAACTGGGAAATCTACAGTTCCTTGGATATATGTTTTGATTTGGTTTACACTTCGGTCATCTATCATAGACATGGTAGTAACACATCTTTAATACACAAGGACAATGTTCAAGTGAAGCTGATATGAAAAATAGTATTCCAGCTATTGGCATGGAAAGAAGTATAGACAATCTAAGGCCTTTAAATCTTTTCTGGGTAATAAAAGCCTACTAAGTTCTTTAGTTATGTGTCAAGTATAAATGGTGATCTTATGTACATAATGTTTCATTTGGAAAGGGGAATAGGTGATTCTGATTACCTTATTATATCAGGCGCTTTTTCCTTCAGATCATATCTTCATGTGCTGTTATCATACTAGAAGTTAACCCAGTTCCAGCTAGCTGCCACCTACTGGGATGTATAGTTTTACCATAGTACTTTAAAAAGGAAATGGTTTTCATTTTCAGGTCATAGCTATGTCTCTAAGAACCGATGATAAAATTTTTATACCACTTAATCTACTGTTTTGTCCTCTCCCAACAACGACTGATATAAATTTAGTATGTGTACAACATATGGTCCCCAAAGCTTTGTTTCTCGGACGTTTTTCGGCAAATCCTTGCAAACGCTTCAGATTCACATGCCACCACAGTCCTCCTGCTGTTGCAATCTGGTGTGAGGAGAGCCACAGCTTACCGCAACACCTGACCAGCCTCTCCAGATCTCTAGATGCAGCTTTGCTAACAAAGCCGTAACACAGCCCTCCCTTTTTAAACGTTTGCCAAAGTATTCAAATGAATGTTGATATTATGATTTAAAAACACATTGCGGCCCACTTGCACTTCACTCCCACCAGCTATAAAAACCATAGGTTCTCCTCTGTCTGTTATTAGCTCAGTCCAAATTTACAACCAAGTTTCTGCTGCACCGATGATTAATGACATTTTAAGATGGTAATTAATTTTTAGCTAGTGGAAAGACGTGCATTCTAATTAACGAACTGAGTATGCAATAGACGTACTTGTTCAGGCACTTTTTGGTATCACGGCAATGCACTTTCCTAGCAGGTTTTAAGCAGCAAGAACAAACATTTATGACATTATCTACAGATCAGCCTTTCGTCCCTTCAGTTTGCTTTGGGGTTGGGGAAGCTGTGAAAGATTTGGGGAGGAGAAGGAGAATGTTTAATGTTTTCCGTGCTCCAAACTCCCC